CATTATTTCTTTGCTCGTAAGCTCCAATCCCCAACCCTCCATAGGCCTTAGGCAGGGAAGTACGCTCACAACTCACTAGATGCCTCTGAGGGTGTTGACCATAACCACTCCAAAAGAAGTTTCTAACAATTTTCTATTAAAAACTAAAAGAGCCATAGTGAGTCTACCTCCCTTTTAAGAGCATAAGATTTTTCCATTTCTCGAGTTTAGCCCTGAACTTCTCAACAATGTTATCCCAAAAGGAAGCTTTTTTGAAATTTCCTCCTAGAGGAACACCCAGATAGTTAATAGGGAGAACCTCTACTTTACGATCAAAAAATGAAGCTTCATGAAGAAGAACCTCCTTTTCCACTTTGATTCCCACCAAAGCTGTCTTCTCTAAATTGAGAGAAAGACCAGCTCCCATCTTGAAGAGATCTAGGAAAGTCCACCATCTTTCTAAGTTGTCATCATCATCCTGGCATAAAATAATAGTATCATCGGCATACAAGAGTAGGTGTGTGAGCTTAACCCCATTGTGGCCTATCATAGAGCTACTTAGGATTCTTCTTTCGCAACAAAAATGGATGGACCGACTAAGAGAGTCTCCAATAATAGTGAAGAGGAAAGGGGAAAGGGGGTCTCCTTGCCTAATCCCCCTTCTCGCTTTAATTTTCCCTCGCGGTTTCCCGTTGATAATGATGGAGAAATTGGTTGATGTAAGACAGCCTCTAATCCACATTTTCCACCTATTGCCAAAGCCTTTGTTCATCAAGATCCCGTCGAGATAATCCCAATCAACCTTGTCATAAGCTTTTTCTAAATCGAGCTTTAGCAAGAAGTCTGTCTTTCTCTTATCTTTTCATTCCCCAACAACCTTCGAAGCAACCATAATAACATCGACTATCAAGAATCTGTCTTCCCTCCACGAAGGTCGCCTGAAAGTCATCAATAATTAAAGGGAGGACTTTTTTAAGTCTATCAGCCAACACCTTTGAGATAATTTTATACAAGGAGGTAACCAAACTAATAGGTCTATACTCACAAACTCTATTAGCCTTTAGCTTATTTGGAACGAGGCATATATGGGTCTCATTGGTCCGATTGTTAATAATTCCATTTTCAAAAAAATCTTGGAACACCTCTACTATGTTTGTCTTCAAGATGTTCCAAGTTTTAAAAAAAAAAATCATTCGACATACCGTTAGGACCTGGAGATTTCAAATTTCCAAGGCTCTGTATTGCTTTCCGAATCTCTTCTTCTTTAAAAGGTTCCTCCAACCATCTATTCCACTGTCTACTAAGGGGAGCCCATTGAATACCCTCCAAAGTGAATCTCGAGCAATGTTTTAAAAATCGGTCAAGACTTACTCCTTGAGGCGTGGTGGCTATATCATGCCTCAAGGCTTACGCCTGTAACAAATAAAAAGATGCTTAYGCYTTAGATGACAAAGGCGTAAGCCTCGATGCTTAAGCCTTTGAGGCTTAAAAGGCGTCAGCCTCAAATAAAAATAGTCTTTGGCGGTGGTGGGGCGAAATTAATAAGGTGGTTTAGTGCTCTGACAGAAACATAATTATCTTAAGACTTTGATATAATATTTTTAACTTAAAATCTTATTATTCTATAAGTAAATAGCAACCTAGACCAAACTAAAAGACAAACCTAGTTTGTCTTTATTTGTATAATGAATAAAAATGTAAACCAGTAGATTGACGGCAAGAAAAAGTGGGTTAAAATTTCCTTTTCTTTCTCTTTCCCTCCTATCTACTATGTTTTCCTATGTTTTTTTTTTCTCTTTTTTCTTTTGGTTATTACATACTRTATTAAGGGAACCTCTCATATCTTCTCTCTTATGGAAATATTGTATCCCTAAAAAAGATAAAGTTTTCCTATGGACTCTAGCTTATAGGACTATAAATACCACAKAAAGACTACAGAGAAAGTGTCCAAATTGGACTCTATCCTTTAGTTTGTGCTTTATGTCAGAAGAATGAGGATACTATGGACCATGTCTTCCTTCATTGCTAGTTTGCTTCACGTGGATGGTCCTATTTGTTCCAAATTTTTGGTTTCTCCATTTGCCCTCCTCAGAATATTTAAGGGTGGTTATATGAAACTCTAAGAGGGTGGCCTTTCAGAGGGAAAGCAAAATTCCTTTGGAGTCGCGCAGTAGTGGAATCTTTGGTTGGAAAGGAACGCTAGAATCTTTGAAGATAAGATTTCTTCTTTTGAAGTTTTATGTAATACAGTTCATTTACACACTTCATGGTGGTGTCATAGGCAAATTCTTTTGTAATTATAGCCTCTCTTCGATTGTGCAAGACTGGAGAGCTCTTCTTTTGTAGTTCTTGGGAGGGGAGTCCCTCTTCCCCCTGCCCTTAGGCTTAGGCTGCTTTTTGTGTTTCTATCCTTTTGCTAATACAAAGTTCCTTATCCAAAGGGTAGCAATTTTTCTTCTTTTTTCTTTTAGTTTTGTTTCTCCCTTTTTTTTCCTCTCTTTGTTCACCTCACTTGTTTTTTTTTAGTGATAATGATTCTAAAAGGTTTGATGTACTCATGTACATCAATGGACTATTGATATATTTCTTTTGTTGTTAGAATTTTTAAGTATGTTTTGTACTTTTATAATACAAAGTTTAAAATTTTTATGATTCCTTATTTAAAATGAGGCCTACGCCTCATACCACCTCGAGACTTACGCCTCGCCTCTCGCTGAGAAAAAGCCTCGAGGCTGCCTTATGACTTTTAAAACATTGATCTCGAGCCCTCCGTAGTAGCATACAACCTTTCAAAAAACTGCACAATTTCTTGCTCTATATCCTTATCGGCAGTGAGCAAATTCCCATGTCGATCCTCTATCRATGAAACATAGTTTCTATTTTTTCTTGCCGAAGCCCACTGATGGAAGAAGTGAGTATTTTCATCTCCTTGCAAATGTCACTGCTGCTTACATTTTTGAGACCATAACTTAAACTCCTTAAAAACCATTTATGAAAGCTGAATTCTCAAAGCTCTCCTTTTGTTTGTTCAAGTCAGCATTTAGGTGACCCCTCTCCTCAGCCTTGCCTATCCCATCAATTTTCATCCACCACTGTTTTTTCTCACAGTCCACTCTACCAAAAACTTCCCTATTCCACTTGATCAAATGTCCCTTAAGAATTTTTAAACGTTCCATGAATGCATAACCCAACCATCCCCTAGGAGAAACCTCCATCCACCAATGTTTACCATAAAATTCGGATGTTCCATCCACATGTTCTCAAACCAAAAAGGGGTTGGGCCCCATTTGTGAGAACCGAAACTGAGTAAAAGGGTAAAATGATCGGATGTTGGTCTAGAGAGCCTATTTAACAAAACATCTTTAAAGGCCAAATTCRAACATTTCGAGATGAGGAATCTATCCATTCCAGTGGTAGACGGGGAATCCCTACCACACGACTAAGTAAATTGGCCATTCTTCATTGGAATATCTACCAGATCAAGCTCAGCAATTAAGTCATTTAAAATCCTCATACTTTTAGTTATCCTCATACTTTTAGTTATCGGCCTCCTCCTAGCTTCTCCGAAGTCCATCTTGTTACATTAAAGTCACCTCTTAAACACCAGCAACCAGCACAAATTTCTAAAAGGGCAGTTAATTCATTCCAAAAGTTTTCTCTACCGTGAGGGGTGGCTAAGCCATACACACCTGAGATCCACCCTTTAAAGATGTTATTATAACAAAAATCAATAGTTACATAAAACTCACCTATCAGAGCCACTGTGAATTTTTCTCCTTTCCACATGATCAAAAACCCACCTGCCGTCCCCTCAGCATCCAAAGAAGACCAGCCAATCCGCCTAGAGCTCCACACCGTTAACTTTTTTATTTTATTTTCATTTATTAGTGAAAATTTTGTTTCTTGCCAAGAAAAATACGTTAATTTGCATCATAAAGTTCTCTGCCGTAGGGTTCAATAATTTAATTGTTCAACTATCTAGGGAGCACAAAAATCATTGCATATATGCAAATCATTTTTGGAATTATCTCCTTCCTACATTTGGATGGAAGACARTACTACACAACAAACCAACAATCTTCCTTTATCAAAAAAGGAAAAATGATCTTGTGGACCCAGTTTGTTACGGGCTTTCCTTTGGAGTCTTTGGTTGGAAAGAAACAATAGGGTCTTCAACGACAAAGCGCTCCCCTTTAACATCTTTTTTGATAGGGTTACTACTCTAGCTCTTGGTTGGTGTAAATGTTTCTACCCCCTTCAATAGCTAGTCTCTAAATGAACTTATTACAAGTTGGAAGGTTTTCTTGTAATTGCCCATGTGGCATTTTGTATATTTCATACCATCAATGAAATATTTGTTTCATACCAAAAAAAAAAGTGGTTGAACAATGATAATATGTTCAACTGATTCTTTTATTTAGTCAGTGGATGACTCATTTCAGTTGTGATTCTAGTTTCTTTTGAGGTTGCTTTCTTTTGTGTTGTTTTTTTTTTGTTTTCCCTCTCCCTTTGGGAATTCATATCTTTTGAACATTGTATTTCCTTTTCATTATATCAACGAGAAGAATGGGCCTTGACGTGAGAAGAATTTTCTAGAAGAAGGTTGGAGATTGAAGTCGCTTGGGCTAGGGAGCTAGTTGAAATTCAAGCCAAATTCTCCCCGATTTTCAAAGATCTATATGCAAAAGTTAAAGATGGAGAACCCAAAGTTAAAGACTTCTAAAATTTCTCTTTTGTGTCATCACATCTTGGTGGATCTTTTTGTTTGAAGTTAGATTGTTTCTTTTGTTGGCTTTTGATATCACTCTCATGTTGATTGTATTGCTCTCTGTCGAGCCTATATTTTGCTTTCATTTTTTCCTATTTCTYTCACTCCTATGGGAGTTTGTATTCTTGAACTTTTTCTCCTTTTCATAGTTTTTGTTCAAAAAAAAATTATATCAACGAGAAGTTTGTTTCTGGTTCAAAAATGAAAAATATGTTAACTGGTTTTGATACAACTGAAATATCACTACTTGTAGGTTTGCCGGGCTAGGAGCTAGTCTTGCATGGGGAACACTGGAGGAATCAGCCAAGAGGCTTGTTTTTGGCCCAGAAAATCTGCAAAACCATTCTTCTGCTCTGTCCCCGTTCTTATCTGAAAAGAATGCAGAACGTTTGGCTCTTGCTTTGTGTAGAATGCGTGGAGCTGCATTAAAAATTGGGCAGATGTTGAGTATACAGGATGAATCTCTTGTACCAGCTCCGGTATTGTTCTTATTTTAATTCATCTTACTACCACCTTTATTATAAAAAATAGAAAACAATAGAAGAAGAGCTGAATGAGTGGAGAAAAGTACATGTTTTACCTCAGATTCCTAACCATGGTTCTTGTAATGTTTGCACGTTTAGGAGTTTTTTTTAACAAGAAACAAACGTTTCATTAACAATAAGCACCTCTTAACAAATTTTAGGAGCTTGCAGACAATAAATTCTTAAGAATCAACCTCTGTTTATTTGCAAAATCCTCAACAGTAACCACGCAAACTTCAAATCTACCATACTTAGTGTTATTGTCGATGGTTGCAGGAAGGAAACCACACACATTCTCTTCCAACTCTATCAAAGCTTCGGAGCAATCCAAGAGATTTGCGGTTTCCGCAGATATTTTCTACAAATCGCCTAACCCACCCTCCATAGCCTTCCACCACTTCCTTCCTACAATGATCTTCAAAACATCATTCCTCAAACTTTACATAATAATCTCCTATCTTTCTCCACTTACCATTTACCCAATTCAAATTCAACAATTTGCCATCTCCAAACCTTAAGAGCGCCTTACCCGCCATAAAACAATTTATTTGGTAGTCTTGTGAGAATTTTCCTTTTATATAAGGAGCAATATCCTTCCGGTTGTCATGTGCGCACAATTTTGAAATAACCATGATATTGTCCCAATATAACTCCAGGACCTCTGTTTCTTTTCTAACCCAGTATTGCTTTGAAAGATCCTTTTTTCTAACTAAATCAGCATATGAATTCAAAGTAATGTCATCCGTTCTCCAATTATCTTTTGGCGGTGTAGCTGGCCTTCAAGTTTTTTCCGTTGGCATTCACCAAGGAATCTTTTAACATGTCCTAGCCCCAACCTTTTTTACTAAACCCAGCAGGCACCTATACACACTTTCTTCCACTTAAAGTTAGCCAAACAACACATTCCAGAAACCAATCGTGTGGAAACCTCTTCTTCTGAAGTCAAAAAGTTCCATTTTCATCTCTGTCCTGCTTGAAGAACTTCGAATGAACTGGAAAATGCAACAAATCCACCAAAGCCCTCTCAAACCACTAAAGTTGGAGACTCGAAGAGGAATCTGAACATTCTTTATTGAATCTTTAATAAAAATAAAAATAAAAAACAGTCATTTTCACACTAAATCCAATAATAATTGTTTTCAACACTGCCACTTCTCAAATCCATTATGCTAGAAACTTTCACTCAAGAATAAAAACCAGCAGAGAAATCCAAACAGAAGGCTGAACCTTAAGACTGGTAGGAACATGATAATCAAGAACGAAGAAAAAAGACGTAAGGGAGGAGAGAGAAGAGAGCATTTTCCTTACCTCTTCTACTTAAGTAGAGTTGATCTCGGGGTCAAATCGGCAATTAACAAGGATATTTTGTTAATGCATCAAGTTCTCTCTCAGGGAGTGGTCGTCTATTCTTTGAATGCTCTTTTTGGGTTGTCTAATGTTTAGACGTCGGGATACTTGGACGCGTTATGGACCTTTTATACAAAAACAAAACGTTTTCCCTCTGCATGTCGAAATTTTTGGTTCCTTAATTGTGCACATTGGGTTCTTCATATGGTGGCAACTCGTAGGGGTCTGCTGGTAGCATTGGGTAATGGATTATGGACGCCTTTGGTTCTCCATGTAGAAGTTGTTCAAATGCAAAATTTTGTTATTATATTGCTTATGGGACATTTCCGTTTTTTGGGCATTCTTTGATTGGTGCTCTCATCAAAGGCTTCTTGATGTACTTTTCTCATGTTCAATATATTGGTGTAGCTTTGGAAATTGAAGGAAGTGGTTTTGGTTGTTTCAGCTCGTCGTTTTGTTAAGATATTAGGCGTTTAGTTCTTTAATATTTTATTCCCTTGTAATTTTTGTAGATTTGTTTTTATTTGGCCATTTAGTTAATTTTTTTGCTCCCTTTCGGAGTTTGTATCCTTGTAAATTTTTCTTATTTTTATTTGTCAATGAAAAGTTTGTTTCTTGTTCAAGAAAAAAAGAATTTAATAGATGAAATTAAAGGTAGTATTTTTCTCCGATTAAGTTAGATGTTCCAACCTCTGAAATGCACATTTTGTGTTATCTGCTCTGCTAATAGTGACTGCCAAGTCCGCATATTCTTTTTCTGCCCTTTTGCAGCCTTTTGTTGGGCAAGATTTTTTCTTCTCTTCAACTTATCGTGGGTTTTTTCAAGTTCTGTGAAAGATAATGTTATACAGCTTCTTTTTGGGCCTTTTCATGGGAAAATGGGTCAAAGCTATTCTTTTGGAAAGTTGGTTAGAAAGAAACCAATGAATCTTTGAAGACAAGAGTTGGGATTGGCTTGAATGTTTCGACTTAGCTAAGTATAAAGCATCTCGATTGTGTTCTATTTCTACTCATTTTAAAGATTACTTTGTTAGCACTATTTGTTCCTCATAGGATGCTTTTGTTCCTAGTTAGTTCCTATGTTACTATTTTTTTCACTCCTTCAGGAGTTTGTATCTTTTGAGCATTTTTTGTAATTTTTCATTTATTTTCAATGAAAAGTTGGTTTCCCGTAAAAATAAATAAATAAATAAATAACACCACTCAAGTGCACATTTGTCATCGAGTTTTCCCATTTGGTCATTAGCACAATTGAAGGGTCTACGTTCAGGCATTAAATCAATGAACATGGTTATCTTTCTTTGGCAACAATAACTTTGTGTAATTTCAGTATCATTTTCTTTTTGAAGTCCAAGATTCTCTTGCATATTCCATAATTTTGATATGTTCGTATCATCTTTCTGTCTTGCCTCAAAGATCTTAGCTGCTCTGGATATTGTTCGTCAAGGTGCTGATGTAATGCCAAGGAGCCAGCTGAATCAAGTATTGAACGTTGAACTAGGTCAAGATTGGTCTGCGAAGTTGATTAGTTTTGATTATGAACCAATGGCTGCTGCAAGTATAGGTCAGGTGCAGCACATCTACAACACCATCCATTTCTTTTATGGGTTGCTTACTGGTGGTATGATAGTATAATTGTAAAATGGATTTGTTAATTTTTATGAGATTGTAATGGGCATGAAGTTTCTTTTTACACAAATATACAATTCGACTCATAAAGGGGATAGTCTCAAAGTACGCTTAAAGCTATATAAAGGCACATGATCATTTAAACTGCTATGGAGCATATATATATATATATATATATATATATATATTATATAGGAAACAGAAACAATACTTTCATTCAAAGCCAGCACAAAAAAACAGCTTAAAGGCAGATGGTTGAGGGAACCCTCTCCAACAAACTATACAATCACGAATCACCGCTTTCCAATCTTGAATAATCAATTGTAGGCTATGATTACAAAAACCTTCTTGTGGATCGTTGCCCACCAAGAAGCCGTATGATGAATATTTAAACAAAAAGAATCCACCGTAGTACTTTTATCTTCAAAAATTATGCCATTTCTCTCTTTCCAAAGAAGCCAAACCAAAGCTCTAGCAGCACAATTCCAAAGAACAAAAGCTTTCCCCTTGAGTGCACCTCCTCCAAAGCTCTCCGATAGAAAATCATCTATCTTTCTAGGAAGACATAGGCTAAGGTCCACACTAGAGGCTATATAGTTCCACAACTTACAAGTTACGGAAAAAGATGGTCCACCGTTTCTGTGTTTTGTAAACACAGGCTACACACAGAGGGAGAAAGGGGACCAATGAGGAAGCTTTTTTTGAAGTTTATCTACCGTATTAATCCCTCTATAGAATAAAGTCCAAATAAACACTTTCACCTTTTTAGGAACTCGAAAGTTTCAAATCTGATTTGCTGTAGAGGACTGCATCCTAGGAGAAGGGGTCGTTAACGCCAAAAAAGCAGATTTAGCCGGAAAAACTCCAGACCTGTCTGCCTTCCACCACAAAATGACTCGACCTTGCCCCAACACTACTCCTTCGAACTTCTCAGTAAAGGATGCCCATCTATCAACTTCTCTATCAAAAAGATTCCTTCGGTGGACCTTCTCTACCAACTTCTCAGTAAAGCTTTCCCCTACTCCATGCTGGTCATTTTCATTATATTTTTTGTTTTCATGAATGCTAAGATAACTTGACTGATGTAATGACTGATGTAACTCTCCGTTTCTCTTGAATCATGTTTAAGTATTTTGGTTGCTTATTCATTATTGATGTACTTGAGTTTCACATTCTTATCTTTGTTAAGATCGTTTGAAATGTTGGTTGCATGCTATTTAAAACTGATTCAGGTGCACAAAGCTGTTGCAAAAAATGGCATGAAAGTTGCAATGAAAATTCAGTACCCTGGAGTTGCGGATAGCATTGAAAGTGATATTGATAATGTGAAACTTTTGTTGGATTATACTAATCTGATTCCCAAAGGACTTTATCTCGACAGAGCGATAAAGGTAGTGTATTGTACTTGTGAACATATTATCTTGATGTTTGTTGAAATCAAGTTAGTTGCATGCAAAATGCTAGACGGTTGTAAACCTATTGTGCTCACAAAGCAGTCTGATCTTTCTCTTCTTCTCTTCATTTTTCCTTAATAGATCTAATTACTGACATATTTGTCTTCTATTGTTTGGTTGTTATCAACATCCCTTCAATTTTGGTTTACATCTATTGGTAATTATGCCCAAAAAACCAGATCTTAATTTTACTTTACCTGCAAGTAAAATTGGGAAAGTCTTGTTTATTTATACATATTTTAAAGATAATTCAAAAAAAAAAATTTAACAAGAAACAAATTTTTCAATGATATATGAAAAGATAGAAAAAAGTTTGAAGATACAAACTCCTAAAGAGAGTGAAACTAAAACAAAACATCCAAACAAATTTACAAAAATTACAATAGGCTAAAAATAAAACATTGAAGAACAAATTGCCAAAGGTCTTGACTAGACAATGAGCCAATACAACCAAAAACACTCCCTCTAAACTGCAAAGAGACACTAAGATAAATGCGAACCCCTGAACTCCGGTGATGACCAATTAGAAAGGCCGAATATTTGGACTCCAACTCCAAACCTTCGAACACCAAAGATGGAAAATGCTTTTAGCCTTCTTCTCGAAGAACCAGGCCTCTAAAGGAAATAAAAACAGCAAAATGATCCCATAGATGAAACCCCAAAGCCAAGAAAAATCCACATAAAGGCTGCTTCAAATCCTTAGATTGCTGATGAACACCATAAGGAAAGATGAGCACAAACCCCTGCTGATGTAACTACCTAGCATATTTATTATTTAGCTAGTTAGTTAGTAATTGACCAATTAGTTAAACCTGTAGGCTCCTTCTGTCCGTGTGTCGGATGACAAATCCACGTGTGCCCCTTCCCTCCATTCCCTATAAATAACCTACTTGTATTCCTCTCAGTTCATTATTAAATAATATTTCTCTCTTCCCAGTGGGTTCCATAAAGATTTGGATTAGAGCATCCAAGATTCTTGGGCTTCTATACTTTTTTTTTTTAATATCCGTGAGTGTCCGAGCCAACTTACGCACACCTCGACTAATCTCACGGGGCAACCGCCTGACCCTACAACATTTGGTGTCGGGAAACACATAGGAATTACTAATTCCTAAGGTAGGTGGCAATCATGGGATTTGAACTCATTTCCTCTTAATTACCCTAGCCCCTTTGGACCAAATGAGCCACCCATGATGGTTTTGGGCTTCTATACTTGTCCGCTTGTTAGTTGATCCACTCCCACCAACCACTTCCATCTCATCTTCCTCAATCAAGGTTAAATCCTCATAGATTGCGAGGGCATTACTTTCTTCCCTTCTTGCTTTTGACCTTGTTTGATACTCCTTCATTTCATCTCTCACTTTAGTTGGACACTTCAAACATGCTCATAATACATCTTGGTTCCCCCAACTAAATGTTGTGTTGCTCGAGAAATATCACCTTTGGTATTTTTTCCACAAAATATGCATTTTCAAGTGTTTGTATCTTTCGGATTTTCCAAAGTGACGTATTGCAAACCAGGATGCTTATGTTTTTTTTTTCCTTTTGCCATCCTATTATAGTTGGAATTTGGTAGATAAACAAAAGGAAAAAGTAAAAGAAATGAGAAAGGAAAGTATCCACAGTGTGAAGATTAAAGAAAAGAAATGGAGTGATAAGGAAAGAAATTAAAAGAAATTAAATAAGATAGAAGAATTAAAGAATTAAAAATAAATAAAATGAAAGTAATGAAAGACGAAACTAAATGATGAAGAAAGTTGAAAATAGAAACCTTGAGGAGGAAGATGCCGGCGGCGGTGGCAAAAGGAAGAATGCAGCTGCAGTGGCGGCAACAAAGGACGAGGCAGTGGCGGCGAAGGATGAAGGTTTGGGGTGTGGGTAATTGGTTTTTTAGGGTTACTTTTTGTGGGTGTTTAACATTATAACAAATTAATAAAAAAGAAAAGAAAAATTGAGGATCACCTCACTTCAAAAAGGTGCTCGCCTAGCCTTATGGCAATGGTGCACAAAAGCGAGCGACCAGTTGAATGTGCTCGCCTCAGTGCCGTTCAAGGCACGCCAAGGCAAAATTGCGTTGCCTCTCGTCATAGGTGGGCGGCTGGACATGCTTTGAAAACACTAGATTTATTATCCTACGAGTTATTCTATGAGATTATTTGAGGTGTTTAAGTTGGTCCATACATTCAAAAATATATTAAAACAAAATTGTGACAGTTTTCTTTTTGACAAAGATTTTGAATCTTTATTGCTATTCTTCAAGAAGCCTTATTTTGAAAAATTTTGATGTATGGAAATGGAGCTCTTAGTTAATTTTGGGACTCCTAAACTTTTTGCTTTTTTATGGTGTTTCTTTCTAAATGTTTGTAACTTTGTATTATTGTTATTCCTTTTTAATGTATGGAAAATGTAATGTGTTTCTTTTTTACTGTCGTTGGCTCTGGGGGACTATTTCTTGTTCTTCTCTATTTTATCTATCATTTAATGGAGTGTGATTTAGTTGATTGCCCTTTTCTTACTTTTTATTTTTGAAAAAAGAATGTTCTCCTGAGGCCATTGGACTGAAGTATTTTTTGTAAGTCCTTTTTTTTTTTTTTGAGGTATTGTAAGTCTTTTTTTAATTGAAGCACTGTTCTATGTCTTAAATTTAACTAAATCTCTTGAGATCGTCAAAATCCTCATGTGAGTTGATGGTGCAATATGCATCATTATTAATAAAAATATCTATTTATTTCTAAAGTGCTTATTTTTAATGTTAACTTTTCTAGATAAAACTGCAACCTGATATCAGTGTTGGTAATATCCATTAGGTGGCAAAAGATGAGTTATCTCGTGAATGTGACTATGAGTTGGAGGCTACCAATCAGAAACGCTTCCATGCTCTGTTATCTAAATCTCAAGGTTTTTATGTTCCATTGGTTGTGGATGATCTGTCAAGCAAAAGGGTCTTGACTACAGAACTTATTTCAGGTGCTCATGGAACCTCCTTTTGCTCATTTCATGCTTAATTAAATATTTATTCTACTTCTTTTTTTTTCTTAACAAGATACAAACTTTTCGCTGAGAAATGAAAAGGAATAAAATTGTTCAAAGATACAAACTCGGAAAGGAGTGAAGAGAAATAAAAGAAAGCAATAAAGCTAGGGGGAGTTATAAATG